CCAGCAAAGCCTTTTTGTCATTGGACAGAAGAACGACAGGGTCGTGGGCAGAGGGCCTGGCATGGAGTTGGGTTTTACTGGTCCATCTTCTGAAGGTCACTGTGAAATTCCACTGGAGGAGGAAGATGGGCTGGGGGAAGGGTTCTTCCCCCTGAGCTGGAGCCCCACCCTCACCATCAGGGCGCCGCCCCTCGGCGGACTTGGGGGCTGGTCACTCAGCATTCTCTAGCCAGGCCTGAGCCCCTGTCTTTGGGAAGCCCCTTCACAATGGTGTCCAATCCCTGTTGCCAGGTGGTGGCAGACACTCAGGGTCAGGGTCAGGGCTGTAGAAGCCACACCTCTCTACTTCCTTGTGTGTTTGCATCGTCCTATTTCACGTTTGTTTTTGTGAATAAGTGATACATTTGCAGGGCTCACAATGCTAAGAGGATCAGAGGGCAGCCGTGTGCCCTGTCACCCCGCCCTGGCCCTGCCTGTCTCTTCCGTGGCTGTTTTTTGGTTTGCCTAGGTTTTGAGTGAACGGCAGAGCTGGAGGAAATCCCCAGGCTGGGTTCTGCTCCCCCAGCACCTGGTGGTGGCTGGAGGCAGGGAGGTCCTGGACATGGAGCCATGCATGACCTGGTCACTCCCTCCAGGCCATGCCATTTGCTCAGAGCCGGTGTCTGAATCACAAGGGTCCTGCAGAACATCTCCATTCACAGACCCTTTGCCTTTCTCCTGCTGCTGCAGACGTGAAGTTCATTTCCAACCCGCCCTCCATGGTGGCGGCCGGGAGCGTGGTGGCTGCAGTGCAAGGCCTTAACCTGGGGAGCCCTAACAACTTGAACCTGGGGAGCCCCAACAACTTCCTGTCCTACTACCGCCTGACACGCTTCTTCTCCAGGGTGATTAAGTGTGACCCTAACCTGGGGAGCCCTAACAACTTCCTGTCCTACTACCGCCTGACACGCTTCTTCTCCAGGGTGATTAAGTGTGACCCGGTAAGTGATGGGACTACAGGCCTACGCTGGCTCCTGGGGCCAGCCGCACATGAGCACATGTCTAGTGCCAGGGGAAGGCTGCAGCTGAGGCCAAGGCCCCCTCGGGTGACAGGATGGGGACCTCGAGATCTGCCTCTGGCAGCGTAGGACATCCAGGACAATGAGGGAACTGAGCAGGACCAGTGCCCCTTGGGCCACAGGCCACAGCTCGGGACTTTCTCATGGCCCTGGGCTGACAGGGTGTGGCTTCGGCACTCCCAGAACCTGCTGACCGACCAGGAGGGTCCTCACGGGCTCCCAGGAGCAGGCAGGAGCCATAGACCCTTCCCGCTTGAACCTTCCAAGAGGGCGCAGGCGGGCCCCAGGCAATGATCCGTGCGGTGATGGGCGTGAAGGTGGCCCCGCGGCCTTTGTTTGGGCCACAATGTGCGCGGCCAATAAATAGAAGCTTTAAAAGGGTTCCTGTGAGGTCTCCGAGCCGGACTACGAGGCGAATAGAGACAACCTTGTTTTTTACGGCCTCTTTGAGAGGCTGCTGCTGTTATACCCGAGTTGACTGTGTCTTTCTTCTTAAAAATGCCATTGTTTTATTCCCAATTCTTTTCTTTTCTTAAAGAAAGAATTAAAATAACAATTACAAGGGTTTGTGGCATTTACCAAATTAGACCAGAGAGGTTGGCGGGTCAGCCGGTGGCCCCTGCTGTGTGGGAGGGAGTGACTGCCTTGACCCCGCTCGCTCGGGTCCCGTGGGCCTGCTGAGGTCCATTTCAGGTTTGGCCTGGACTGCCTCTTGGTGGTCCACCCCAGAGCGTCCAGAAAGCTCCGTGGGTTGCAGTGGATACTGTCTCAGGACACGCCTTCCTGTCCCCTGCTCAGTGCTGCCTCTGCCTCAGGGGCACAGGGACCAGCTGGCTGCCCAGCCTGTGCATCTCACTCAGAAAGGAAGACCTATTTGTGTCCACAGACCCTGGAGGCAGGGGGATGCCCTTTTTTCTGTGCTGCAACCTCCCTCCCACCCTGCCGGTGTCCACCTGGGGGATGCATTATCCTCATCTGGTTGCGGGGAGGGGGCAGTAGTGTCATGCGGCGCTGAGGACATGGCACGGAGAGTAGAGCCCTCGGATCAAAATGAAATTCTGCATCTGCACTTTTAATTTCAAACTCCTCGCTCTAGATGAAAACCACTTTCTCCCCGCCAGGAATACGTGACCTGCGGCTTTGTCGACATCCTTCTTGTGGCAGCACCAAGTGAAGTGCTGTGGTCAGGGAGCTGTAGAAAATCGCTGCGTTGCCCCTTATTTGAACAGTGATTGTTTTAATTAGATCTAAAGTATAATGCCTCACAGCTGACAAACAGGAGAGGAGTTAATTGAGGCTGGAATTACTTTGTCATCTGGTCATCCGGTGACAAATGTTGCTGGGCCCAGGCTCCGCACCACGTGGGCAGCAGGGGCTCCTGGGCTGTCCTCAGTGGGGAGCTGTGTCTCCCCGTGGTGCAGCAGGACCTCAGCTGCCAAGTCAGCTCTAATCTGTTGTCTGGGGCCTCAAGGGTCAAGCCTGGCCAGTGGACACACAGGGCACTGGGGTCCCCAGCCCTAAAATTGCCTTTGCCTGAGTTCATTGCCAGACCACAGACCATTTCCACAGATGGGGTGTCCTTCAGGCAGTGAGTCCACATAGGAATCTGGTGTGGCAGAGCACACCTTCTGGAATTTTCTTTGTCGGACGTAATGTATGCTGTGCCGCACATCACAGAAAAGTGCTGTCAATCCTGCTGGAAGCTTCTGCCCATGAGTGAAGGGCACAATCCACCAGGGTGGCATTGCAGGCAGGTGTGGGGGTAGAGGAACAGGTGCAAAGGGCACAAAGCCAAGTCCCGCTCTGCTCTGGGACCTCCGGGTGTGGGTCTGAACTGATCATGGGTCGGGGCTGCTGGGTAGAGCTGGAGAATGGGCTGGGGCCCAGCAGCGGTGCAGGCTGGGGAGGCCACCGAGGGCACGCCCCTTCCTGTACCCCCTGCCCTCCAGCCCCATCTGGTTGGAAGTCCAGCAGCACCTTTGTCACCTAGGACGGGGCTGTGGCTGCACCCTGTTCCTTGTGGGGAAGTCTGTTCTCAGGCTGGCTGGAGGCTTTGCTGGTTCTGGAAGCCCTGGTGTGGCATCCCGCAGTCAGGACACACATGACCCAACACCTGGAGCCTGCTGCTTTGTTCAGGAGCCAACAGCAGCAAGAAGCAGCTCCGGGCTGCCGGGACATGGGCCTGAGCAGAGACTGGGAGAGGCCCCTGGGCACGGGGGCCCCCGGAACCCGTGGCTCCTCTTTCCCATTGACAGTGTGGTATGGTCAGTGCTGCAAGGCAGTCGGAGTGCAGCGAGGGTGAAGGTGATGTGGGGCTTCCAGGGACTTCAGCGCCCCTGTGGCTGCAGCGGGCAGCCACACATGGTGCAAGGCTGAGGACACAGGCCCTCGTGGGAGAGGACAGAGGGACAAAGGTCCAGGTGCCCCCAGCCTCAGTCATGCACAGCCTAACGCTTTTGATGGCAGTTTATCATGGAAAGCTAGTTTCACCTCAAGGGCTGCCACATACCAGAGGTTAAGTCCCGACAGCAGGGCTCCCAGGGCCTCCCCAGCGTGTCGGCAGTGAGAGGTGGCCGCGGGGCAGGCGGGGCAGGCCAGTGTCTGGGATCTGCATCCATGGAGGATGGCCAAGTGGAGGCGTTTGGTCCTGAATGGGGTCACCAGTGCCTGGCTGCCACGTGTGGGCTCCTCAGGCCAGGAGGCGGCTGGTGGCCAGAGGGGGCCAACCGTGCTTCTCCTTCCTGGGGGTTCTGGTCACATCTCCCACACCTCCTGTCCGGCTTGGGGAAGGCAGCACAGGCCATGAGAGAGTTTGGGGTTAACCTTGCTCTTACAGAAGAACCTTGTGGGCCCCCGCGTTTGGTGGAGGGGGCCCTCACGGCAGGCGGCCCCCTCAGGACCCTCCCTTCCCACCCCGTCTCCCCCAGGACTGCCTCCGGGCCTGCCAGGAGCAGATCGAAGGTCTGCTGGAGTCCAGCCTCCGCCAGGCCCAGCAGAACCTGGACCCCAAGGCGACCGCGGAGGAGGAGGTGGAGGAGGAGGAGGAGGTGGACCAGGCCTGCACCCCCACCGACGTGCGGGACGTGGACATCTGAGGTGCCAGCGGCGGGCGTCACCGCCACCAGAGCGTGGAGCAGCGACCGGCAGCCCCGCAGCGAGGCAGGGGCCGACCCTGATGCTCCCCGACAGTCCCTCTTCTCCGGGACATTTCGCTACCAGAAGGGAAAGTTTCATTCTCCTTGTTGTTGTTTTTTATCTTTGCTCCTTCCCCTTACGTCTCAACTTAAGCAAAAGAAAAATATGTCCTGAAAACGGTCTTAAAAAAAGAGAGAGAGAGAGAATAGTATTTGCATAACCCTGCGTCGGGGGGAGGGGGGTTGTGCTACAAAAATAGAGGATTTTGTACCCCAGTACTCAGCTAGTGTTTATGTTAATGTGCTTGTGTCTCCGTGTTGTAAGAATAGTCATTAACACAAAGCAAGGGTCTCCAGGGGAAGGACTAGATTTGATGCATTATGTGTTTAAGAAAAAAAGCATAAAAACATTTAAAAAAAAAAAGTAGAAAAGCTCAACAAACCATTTTTAAAGTAGAAGAGGGTTTTAGGTAGGAAAACATACTCTTGTGCTTTTCCTAAAAAGCGCAGCATTAGCGGTTCTAGGCATCTCTGTACCTGGCTTGCTTGTGCATGTAGTCACTTTATGTGTGTGTTGCATCCCGTAGGTAGACGTGTGGCCTCTGCACGGGCCGCTGGCTGGTGGGGTGGTGAGCCCGGCGTCCTGTGGACCCACCTGCGTGACAGTGCCAGGAAAGGCCGACTCTCCCACTCCTATGATACGCTACGTTAAAGAAAACGAAATAGTGACATAATATATTCTATTTTTATAATCTTCCTATTTTTGTAGTTACCTGTTTATGAGATGCTGGTTTTTTCACCCAACAGCCCTGCAGCCTGCTCACATCCAGGTTAAATCCACAGGTCCTTTGTTTTTGTTTTTGTTTTTTTTTGTCTTCTCAATATTCTAAAACCATTCCATTTCAAAGCACTTTCAGTCCAGTAGTGATAGGAAATTTCGCTGTTTATGTTGTGTGCGGAGGGGCGATTTTCTAATGGAATGGTTTGGGAATGTTCACGTCCTTGTGTGCAGGTAGGATTGCACGGCCAGTGCACGTCGCTGCGGTGTTAGTGACGGGGATGTTTCTGAAGGCGATGCTCAGTCAGGAAGAAAGAGATGTGTATTCTCACACTGCCAGGATGGTTACGTTCCTTTTCTTTCCTGTAGAGAAGTTGAAGTTGAGGAATCCTTTGGTGCCGGCTGGTGTTTGAAAGTAGGGACCTCCAAGGTTTCCCTAGAGAACAGGTAGTAGTTAAGGGTTACCTTTAGATGTTTCACAATGGAAGGTTTTAAACACTAAAATATATAATTTATAGTTAAGGCTAAAAAGAATATTTATTGCAGAGGATGTTCATAAGGCCAGTATGATTTATAAAGTAATGCAATCTCCCCTTGATTTACACACACGCACCTCTCTGCCTTTGATGTCGCAGGTTTAATACAGTTTGGCCAAGATAGGTCCTTAGGAAAACCACACGAAGACTTTGATTCGGCCCGTTTGGTGTTTCCCAAAGTGATCCAATCCGAGAGGCATCACAGCTACAAGGAAAATTAGGGTACTGGGAACAAGTTCAGTCCCAACACAGGCTTATCTTCTGCCCCCTCCTTTAAAAACATGGAGTGGCAGACAGACAATTTGCACATCTCGGCTTTGTACCTTTCTGTAATTTCCACTTAGGAAGTGTTGAAGGGAGGTGGTGAGAGCGTTGAGGCTGAGGCTGGAGAGGCTGTGAGGGAAGAGGTGTGGAAGCGGGGACTCCCGGGGACGGGCGGTGACCACGCGAGGGACAGGCTGTGGCTCCATTTTCCTATTGCGCTGCTACCGGTGACTTCCTGGCACGGTTTGGAAAAGATTCGCATCGCTTCTCTGTATCTCTTTCATATTGTTTTGCTGCTATTGGAGGATCAGTTTTTGGTTTTACAATGTCATACTGCCATGTTCTAGTTCTAATTTTCTGGTAGAAAAAATGTATTACAGATGCCTTTGTAGTTTTTTTTTTTTTTTTTTATGTGATCAGTTTTGACTTAATGTGATTACTGCTCTATTCCAAAAAGGTTCCTGTTTCACAATACCTCATGCTTCACTTAGCCATGTGTGACCCGGCAGTCATGTTGTCTGCTCGGGCAACGGACACGCAGACGAGATCCCACTACGGGCCCGGCGGGGATCGGCACCAAGGTCAAGTTCACGAGAACCACACGGGCGTCTGGAGACCGGGCTGTGTCCGTTTTCTTTTCCCTGCGCCTGTTATGCTGGACTCTTCATCTGATCTGGGATTGTATCATCACAGTAGTTTTTACAGCTGTATCATTCTTTGTGTGTAGCTATGAAAGTTGCTTTATTATTATTATTATTATTATAACAAGTACGTCTTACGTGCCACCATGGTGCTGTGCCCGTAGGACTCTGTCATTCGGGATGATTGGAGTAGCTTCTGGAATTTGTTCAAGTTTTGGGTGTGTTTAATCTGTTATTATGTACTAGTGTTGTGTTTGTTGTTTTGTTAATTACAGCATAATGCTAATTTAAAGAGACTCCAAATCTCAATGAAGCCAGCTCACAGTGCTATGTGCCCGAGTCGCCTAGCAAGCTGCCGAACCAAAAGGATTTGTACCATTTGTGGGCCCGCCTGGCTGGGCCCCTGTCCCCGGAGGCCATCGGCAGGCACAGGCCTGTCCCCACCCCTCCCACCCCCTCCGGAACGCTGCTTACGCTTACCTCAATCATTCTGGCTGCACCATCTCTGTCTAGACCAAGTGGGATCCTTGAGGGATAGTTGGTTTGTAGTGATGGGGTGAGGGCAGATGTCAGGAATATTGTGTGTGCTGAAAGGCCAAAGGCTGGTGGCAGGTCCATGGAGCACAGCGGAATCTGTCCTGTGACATGCAAGCCTGTAAGGGTCTCTGGTCGGCGGGCAGTTTAGATCTGTGTGTTTCTGGTTGCACACGGCGCTTCCCAGCACAGACATGTAACCAGCACGTTTCCAGCAGAAAACAAAAGGCAAACATGAAAAGTCTAGAAATAAAATTGGTAAAACCCCAGTGTGGTGCTTGCCTATTTCCTGAGCTGGCAGGAAACCAGGGGTGTGGGTCCTGGTGCATAGGAACCAGGGCAGGGGGCGGTAGGCAAGGCTTCACCATCTCAGCATGACTGGTGTAGGGCCAGGTCATTCTGTCCTCTACACCACAGGAAGTTTAGTGGCATTCCTGACCTGTACCCTCTAGATGACAGTAGAACCACTGGTGTGACAACCAAGACTGTCTCCTAGCGTTGCCAAATATCCCAGTGGGGGGTGAGATTCACCCAGGACCATGTTATGTTCTAGCTGGGAGCAAGTCCAGACCACGGGATAAGAAGTGGGAAGGGACCACGTGCACCTGGGGCTCCTAAGAAGAATGCAGTTGGCTAGCTGGGCGAGCCCCTGCCACCCTATGTGAGCAGCTTCTGGCCTCAGCATCGATCAGGATGGCCCCCGCCGCCTTTCACCAGTGTGCCCTCCCGGGTTATTTGCAGACAGGAAAGTAAACAGAGCCAGAACTTGTTAACCCCCTCCTGGTGCAGACTGCTGATTGCTGTGGCTGAATCATGGTCTTTAGGTGCCACCAAGGTCAGGGAGAGCAAAATGTGGTGTCAGGGCCACAGTCTGGGGCACTGGCGACCTGGGAGGCCTCGTTATACACCAGTGATGTTCACCTCTGCATTTCAGATGCATGTGACGTCTTTCCAAACCCTGAGGTGGGTGGCAGGAGCACCCTGGGACGGTATCATCAGAACCTGGTCTCAGCTCCGCGGGGCCTCAGGGGCCCTATGTGCAGCACAGGCTGATCTGTCCTCACCCTGAACAGCTCTCTACCACACCAAGCAGAAGCCCAGGTCCCGTGCTAACCATGGCCACATGTGAATTCACTGTGGCCTTTATGCATGGCGGACCTCTGGGAGGTCATGGTAGAGGTCACCATGGTCGGTGTGTTGGTTCTCCCCAGGTACCGCACTCCTGGAAGGAAGGTGTGGCATGCAGGAGGACGCCAGGCCTCTGCAGGTCACCACCAGCCTCTCTATCCTGAGAGTGGGGGCTCCAGGATCCTTCCTCACGGCAGCCCCATGCTGGGTGGGTGGAGGAGCTTTACGGTGCTCCAAAAGGCCCCTAACAAGAGGTGGCATACAGCTAGAGCTCAAGGAACAGCTGCAGCCAGAGGCGGCGCCCTGTGGCCACTCTGAGGTGGCTTACCAGAGTCCAGGTCAGCACCATGATGACTACCCAGCTCCCTGCAAGAGCCAGGTCCTCTGCCAGAGCTGGGGACAAAGCGAATCAGCATCCCGGCCCTCAGCCCACAGCCTCATTAATGCCCCGCTCTGCAGATGACACGAGTACAATGGGAGGCCTGTGCAGGTGACTGTGACTGGGAGGGTGGGCCTGGTGCTTCTCCTCGTCTTAGGGGAGCAGGAGGAGCAGCTGTGGATTGTATCAGGTCCAAGTTAGGGTGGGAGGAGGATGCAGGGACAACTGCTTTGCCACACAAGGAAAATGAACGCGCAAGGGAGGGTGTGGATGGGAGAACTGGGTATAGAGAGGACAGGCCAGGGAAGAGTATCCATGTGGACCTGAGAGGAGAGGAGGCAGGGCAGGGGAAACATATGGACAGAAGAGGGGACAGGGCAGGGTATACATATGGACAGAAGAGGGGGCAGGGCAGGGTATACATATGGACA